ATAAGATCCTGCCCAGCCATTACAATCTTCCGCTCATCGGTTGTACTCCTTGCAGTAGGAGGTGAGTCGTCGCTGTACTGTTCTCCAGTAACAATCCACCTGATAAGCCAATAAAGGCTCTTGGGAAGAAGAGATTTTGCAGTATCCAAGTGTAAATCTCGGATGTCAAGTGGGTTGATGTTAATGCCCTCACATCTCAGCATCTTCCGCCTGATAATGGAAGCTATAGTGTAGATGTCTAGGAAACTGAAAGTTTCTGACTCTGGCTTATCCATGCTGATAGAGTTTGTTTCGTCACGTAATGGACAAGTGCTCGCTGCATTTATGATATCAATTAAGGAGATGGAGCTTCTGAAAACAATTTCCGGTCTGGATTGTTGAGGTGACTGATGGAAAACAAGACGTTCCTTAAAATGAGCCATCAATCGTGCTTTCAGCTTCTGCTTTGTGTAGCTACCTGCATCAATTCCTATCTTTTCCAGCTCCTTCTTGAACATTGCCAGCAAAACATTCATGTCGTAGGCTTTTCCTTCCTCAATTTCGGGGGTTATAACCTTCAGTAACTGATTGAAGGCTTGATCAAAAGTGCTTTCCTCTCTTGTGGATGTAGCGACGTTCTGTTTCCGCTTGATATTAACCTTGCTGATATAGCAGGCATGACACGCTTTGTGGTATTTTCCCTCCGCTGCAATAAGATCATAGCTAACCGACCGAAGTATGGCTAACAGTTTATGGTCTCCTCTTGCCTCTGCAGATTCCTTTATACTGTTGCATGCTTCAAAGGTGGCGGTGTTTATTAGCTGTCGGTCCTTTTTTCTTGTTGCATTTTTGCAGAAAAGACACTTTGACCAATCAAACACCATGCGTCGCTCTTTAGATTCTGCTTGAACATCGCTTGAGGATTGTACTCCATAATACCGTAAATTCTGTTTCCTGATATATGTTTCGTAACACGATGAATGCCACAAAATATCTTTCCCGGCTACATTACGAAGATCGTCAGCTGACAAACGATGTGAGATTTCATCTTGCCGAACTTCAAGAGCAGATATGACTTTCTGTATTGAAGACAGTTTTCCAGAGCGAAGGACGTCCCTGCTAAAAATGCACTCATCGAAAGAAGTTTTCTTTGCTCTCTTTGCTGGCATGGGAAAAAGCTACCACCCATCCTTTTCCTCCGTGTCGTCTACAGCATTTGTGAGACTTATTATCTGTGCAGATAATTTATTTCCAGACGTTTTCACTTTTAAATCGGCTTTTACAAAAAATACATCAGAATTACGTATCTGACGGAGTTTTAAAATAAAAAAGAGCTCTGTCTAAAAATCCTGCTGATAACCTCAACACATTGCTAAAACATGTTTTCTAAAGGAAGGAATATGATCAAGCAGGAAAGGAAATACAAATAATAATATTACTAGCAGGTGCAATAGCGATGTTCTAGAGTCTCAGCGCATGAATTTTGAGAAAAACGAGAGCAAAAAAGTCGCCGTAATACAGTTAAGATATCAAACATTATCTATCTTGAACTCTTTCATGGCCGTTTACATCCACAGTCGGATACAAAACTCCGTTTACAAATCTGATTCT